CATCGAAGTTCGAACACAGTCTACACCGCAGCAGTGGAGTGTGTCAAGAGAAACACAAAGAGCGCAAGTGATGGACACACACACTCACATGGGCGGAGAGGAAGGCAGATGCACACAGCCGCGCGCGCGGACATAGGATCTAACCTAGGCCTAGGGCACAGCTACACACGACCCCCAAAAAATACTAAGAGAGTCGGGGAGACGAGAAAGGGAGGCTTGCTGCGATTTCACCTTTGACCCTCGCTATCCATTAATCCTGATTGTATATCACGCGCGAGGTGGGATGAAGGCGGTGGTATGAGTGGCACAGCGGGCAGTGGTACGCACAGGCAGTGTGTAGGCTTTGTGTGCTGTATCGTCGTGACTGGCCGTCTAAATTAAGTTTTCATTTCCCATTCGACCACAAAACAAAAACGAAGAAGCGAACAAAAACTACCATGACGGGTGTCTAAATAACAGTGCACACTTTTGCGGGATTGCTATAGGCCTATTTACAAACCAAGGGGAATAGCACGCGAAATTTTCTACATGAAAACCTCTGGATTGTGTCTACTTCGCACTCAAGCATGCTTCGGCTTTAAGCACGCTTTAAAGCTTTCTCCCGACGACCGTGCTTAAAGCCGGCATGGACTGTATCAGCTTTTTCTTCTACTTCTTTTGTATGTTTGTCACTCACTTGTGAACTGCTATTTCCGGGGTGCCTTGATAGTCGAAGTAGACTTTGTGCTATTGGAGTTAGAAAGGTGAGCAGAATTTAAAGCCTGATTCCCTGTTTGGACTTCTCTGTTGACATTCACCCCGTGGCCTCTTATGACCTTATTTTATAATGCAGTTGTGTGTGCCGTAAATCCTTACTAAAACAAAAACAAAAGGATAGTGATGGAAAATTTTCTTCTCTAAATTTTTCTCCTTTTTACCTCCTTTCCTGCTCTCTAACTAGTCCAACAATGTTCTGTCGTCTGCTTTCGTCTCCACTTTCTGCTCCCATCCCCTCACCTCTTTTGGCCCATCCTTTGGGCTCTTGACTCTTTCTGCAGCCTTTCTACTGCTACTCCCTGGTTCCTTCTTACTAATCTTACTGGCACTGTCTTTCAGCCACACTCCTGATCTTCTTGGTAGTAGAAGTAAGATCTAACACCTTGCTCTCTCAGATAAGGGCGAAAAATCTTGGGAGGTCCCGTGTGCAAGTTGTGCACGTTAAAAATCCCTTGGTGGTTCAAAATTGAAAAGAGTGGGTTTTGGCTACCACCCAAGCAAACATTTTTCAAATTCCTTACCAACTGAAAATGTTTAATGTGTCCCCCACGCTCATATGACCTTTTTACAGTTTTTGCGAGCGCCGTAAAACACTTCTCCCCCCTCTCAAAGAAAAGATCATATATATATATATATATATATATATATATATATATGTGAGGCAGCGTGGTGAAATCAGGCGCTTGTCAAAATACATCAAAATCTGAGAAACAGGCATTTTTCCTAAAGTTAGAGAAAATTTTTATCAAAATTTTATTTTTGGGCTTAACCTCTTTTATGTCCATATATATAAAAACACATTTCCCTGTGAACTTAACTGAAAAACATCGATTAAAGGCACAAAATATGTCTTTTTTTTTTCAAGGACTCTTTAGCTATTGGAGTTACCAAACTTTGGCGGCCATTTTCTTGCTAATTTTTCCACTGAAACAAGGTGACCTCATGAGTTCTGTTCAACAAGATAGTTGGATATTTATTTCATCAAAATAAACAAGCTTTCTGATGATACCAATAATAACACCACGTGCACAAAAATTGGTGTGCGTCTGATTCCACCGCGTCGTGACATATAAATTAAATATATATAGATGTATGTTTCCATTTGTGATAGTACTATAGCAGCAGCACTGCATTACATGCCCTCACCATGCACACTAGCAGACTGATCAGAGGTGATGCTGATACAATATAAAATATATTGATTGAGTTTTATCTCTATAAAGTATTTATAAGGATGGGGTTTGGTTGATTACATTGATATTTTGTTTGAACAAAGAGACCCTTTGTTGTGCTTGCTGGATGTACATTGAGAAGTAATTAACTATAATATAGGACTTGTTTCTTATTTGCATTCCATCGTCAGATCTCAGGGTGAGTCGACTGTTAGTTCCTCAACCTGCAATGCAACTGATTTTTATGCGTGTGATCCTGACTGCTTTTCGTATTTCGTAGGGTTCCTTGCCATCAGGCAGCCATATTCTGATTTTGAAGGTGCTCTAAATAATTTTATACTGTCCAGAGTATTTTCAGATGAGGTAGGGATTTTGAATTTTGCCTGGGTGGCAGCAGAAGCCTACACTTGTTGATTTTAGAATCACCAAGGGTTCTTCTTAAATGCGTAACTTGCACACGGGACCTCCAAGATTTTTCACTGAGAAGGCTAGTTGTTAAATCTTACCAACCCTATGGTTCTATGATCAGGGATTGGCTGAAAGACAGCAGTAAGAAGGAGGCAGGAGCAGCTATGGAAAGAGTCAAGAGTAAAGAGGAGAGGAGGCTGGAGGTAAGGGGGAGAGAGAGAGAAAGTGGGGATGAAAGCAGGTAACAGAACAGGACTCTATAGAACAGGAAAGGAAAAGAAAGGAGAAACTTTAAAAGAATAAAATTTCCTCACACTCTCAGGTTTTGAACCCGGGACGTATTGAAAAAGAGACAAACACCAAACCTCTAGATCACGAGAACCCCCTCAATAACAAACTTTGTTTTTTTTCTACAGCTTTGTAATTTTTCCCTTATACGCTTGCTTTTCTTTTTTCCCCAGATGAGTATCCTGAGTTGAAAGAATGAAAACTTCCGTTACTCAGCAAGGGGAAAAGAAACTTCTCTGGGTTGCACCATGAACTTTCTTCGTTCTTGGACAAGTCAAAAAGTCTTTTTCTATAAATATTATGACCGTTATGTGTGTGATAAGAAGTACTTATAGAATTTGTTTCAACTAAAGTTAAATCACGAGAAGCATAAAATTCTCATACTGTTTTTTTCTGTCATGGAGATGGACATAAGTAAAGAAGGAAATGAATCTGATCATGCTAGTTCAAGAAATTTTTGGCCAGACTTTAATTCATCTCATGAGAATGAGAATGGCTTTGCTGGAAGACTGGGGATAAAGTCAGAAAGAGAAGAAGACATGGAGCAAATGGATGTTCCGTTTGTTGGTCACAGCGCTAGTGACACTAACCAGGACAGCATGGATGCGTCTGAAGCGGGATTCAGCATTCATGCCACCCCTCACAGACCAGTTACCACAGCCTCGGAGGACAGCTCAGTACAATCAGAACACTCGCATCAAGGTACTAATTTGTCGGAAGAATGAGGGAGATTATGATCTGACCTCAGGCCCCTCCTTATTTGCAGACCGGTTTAGTACTCCGGTTGAATCAGAACTCTGGTTTTTTAAAAACCCCAGTTGAAGATCGAAGAATCCTGGCCCTGATCGGATTTGCTTAAAAATTCAATCTTTTCTTGAATTCCAGAAGCAGCAGGTCATATATGCTACTTCTTGTAAATGACATGAAAATACATTTTCTTTGTGTATTTGCTATATTTGCAAGATGCAAAAATACAAAGGGGCTCTCGTGGCCTAGAGGTTAAGGTGTTGGCCTCTCATTCAAAAGGTCCCGGGTTCAAATCCGGGTAGCGACAGAAAATTTTCTTCTCTAAAATTGTCTCCTTTCACCTTCTTTCCTGCTCTCTAGCAATATTCTGTTGTCTGCTTCCATTTCCACTTTCTGCCCCCACCCCCTCACCTCCTTTGCCCCCTCCTCTGGGCTCCTGACTCTTTCTGCAGCCTTTCTACTGCTACTCCTTGGCTCCTCCTTACTGCTGTCTTTCTGCCACACCCCTGATCTTCTGGTAGGAAAGATCTACACCTAGCCTTCTCGGACAAGGGCGAAAAATCTCGGAGGGCCTGTGTGCAAGTTGCGCACGTTAAAGATCCCTTAGTGGTCTAAAATCGATAAGAGTAGGCTTCGGCCGCCACCCGAGCAAAATTCAAAATTTTCTACCAACTGAAAATATTAGGTGTGTCCCGCGCGCTCATATGACCTTACGCAGTTGCGAGCGCCGTAAAACACTTTACAAAAACAAAAACAAACAAAAATACAATTCTTATTTGGCTTTATTTCTGTGTATAATGTTTATTTGCCTCTTTCGGTTTGTTAATCTTAACCCTATCCTACGTCGTGTTTTACTATTGTATCCATACAAAGTGGGGAACTCTATACCACCACTTTCATAAGAAGAAATTTACTCATTAATCCGATCCGTACGCTTTGCATAGCGGTCTGTCGAAATGATTTTTTGAGAAATACTGAAAGTTTCAAAGAGATCTCTGCACTTAACTAGAAGTATTCTATAATGTGAAGAATACAACCCCTGGGGAACAAAATGACCCCAGGCGTACGGATAGGGTTAATCTACAAGACTGGGTTCAAGAGGGTTTGATGGTTTTTTCCAGACACTTCTATTTTTGGGGAGGATTCTGTGGAGGAGTTTGCAGGTCTGTTTAAGTTTAAGTATGGTTTAATACTTTGTTGCACATTATATTGTTTTTCATTAGGTTTTTTTTTTCATTTTTTAAATAATTTGAGCTACATATTGTTCCTTGTCTGAGAGTGAGTGTCAGATTTCTTGTAAACAAACTCCAAGGAATTAACTCTTGAAATAATTTCAGAAATAAGAAATATCTCTCTTCAACTCATACTCATTTCAAAAGAATGTGGTTAATAGAGCATTTTTTAAACATTTGAGCCCTTGCCACTGGTACACATGTGGTGGGTAAAACTGCCTGTATGCCTAGCCACCAGTGCAGCGGCGAGCGGGACCCCATCCCCAACCGGGCCCACCTAAGACATGCATACGGAAATAAGCGTTTACTAACCAAGACATTTATTATTTTGAAGATTTTTCTGAATTAGATGCTAGTAATAACAAGGACTACCCTGAGTGGGATATATTAATGTGATTCAGACAATCATATTTATGAATGTTAGTGTGATATATCGCTCAAGAGCTCAGGCAGAGGGGCACAGTAGCCTCAGGAGGTCACGGCTCAAAGGGTTGAACACTGCCCTACAAGATTTTAAAAAGAAGTAAGGCTCACCATAGACAGTATGAAATGTGTTGCTATGAAAAAAGGTTGAATATTTCTTTAAAATTACTTTGTCTGAGAGTTCAAGAAAGGCTGTTTTTTCTGTTTTGCTCTTTCAGATGCATTTGTTGATGTTAAAAAGGAGGTGTGTGAAAATGATGACCAGCAAACTGCAGCAGAGAATGGAGAAGAATCGAGAGGAAGTGTCTTTTCTACCCCACAGACCTCTGGTGACGAAAGGAATGCTAACCAGTCCACTGGTGATGGTAGTAAGCTTCATTCATGTGATATTTGTGGGGAAAGCTTTGAGAAAAGTTCTGCCTTAAAAATCCACAAGACTTATCATACTACAACCCGATCTTTCATATGTGAAGTGTGTGAAATGGCTTTTACTCGTAAAATTCATTTGACTGATCACATGAGAACACATACCAGAGAGAGACCATTTAAATGCACAGAGTGTGATAAAAGCTATGCCGTGTTGAGCAACTTGACGAAACATAGGAAGTCTCATGAAAATGATAAGCAGTTTGAGTGTCGGTCTTGTGGTGCGGAATTTCTTACAAAAGAGCACTTGGTGAAGCATCAAGAGACACACTCTAAAGAAAGAGAACCCGTGCTGAATTACAAAATCTGTGCTAAAAATCAGCAAGGGAAACTCAAAGTGGCTCAGGCAGTAGAGAAACAGAAGCAGCTTATTCAAGAAATAATATCAAATAGTCCAGCAATACAAAATAAAGTTACGAGTATTGTGGAGAACCAGAGTCAAATCAAGAGAGACGAAAATCATTCCACAGTTCAACCGGCACAGGTGGAGTTGCATGGTGGCCGTGCACCAACGCCAAAGTCTAATAAGCGTCGAAGCCATCATCCAACTGTAAAACGACATATTTGTCAAATCTGTGACAGGAAGTTTCTGTATCCATGTGGACTAAGAAAACACGTGAAAACTCATGATGATGATGGCACCTATGAGTGTCAGTATTGCAGCTTAGTGTTGACGACAAGACGCCAGTTTCTCGATCATGTTGTGGTACATGAGAAACGATCACAAAGTGAGGGTAGTTTACAAGTCCACTCAAAAGCAGAGCAGGTTATATTGGATGCTTTTGCCAAAGGGAGTTCAGTTTTGAAAGAAGACAAAATGTACAAATGCGGTTTATGCAATGAGACTTTTGTGCTGTGTGAATATTTGAAGAATCACATGGAAATGCATGAAAGAGAAATAAAATGTCATAGGTGCAAAGTGTGTGGTGATGCCTTTGACTTTAAATTTCTTTTGAAGAAACACAAACTGACTCATGCCAAGAATAAGCCATACAGCTGTGATGTGTGCAAAGTGAAATTTAAACAGATTCGTGAACTGCGGAGACATAAATTGGTTCACAAGGGCAGAAGGCCATTTAAATGTGATATTTGTAATGCAAAGTTTGTTCGAAGAACTCATCTGAAGGATCATAAGAAAGAACATACTGGAGGAAAGCCATACAGATGTGGCATTTGTCAAAAGCTGTTTTCTCTTGCTAACATTCTCAAAGTTCACATGCAGAGACACCAAAGCGAAAAACCCTATGTATGTGGTCTCTGTGATGGGAAGTTTCATAAGACTCATGAATTGGAAGGGCATGTTGAAGAGTCACATTCTAAAAAAACAGAGCAAAACACGCCTGATGAAACGATTAAGTCGTACAGTTGTGGTGTTTGTCAGAAAACATTTCCTCTTGAATCGGCACTTGAGCGCCACAGAAAGACCCATGTTGAAAATAAGCCATACCAATGTGAGTGTGGTGCCAGTTTTGCTAAGATTACTCTTCTTGTGGTGCACAAGCTTACCCATGTAGAGGGAGTGCCTCATAATGCTGATACCCATGACACAATGAAATTGGCTGGTAAGCCATCCAATGAAAGCTCACGCCCAGGTGATAGTACTCCTAGTGCACCTCCGGTGCAAAAAAATCGTGCCCAAAATAAAAAATCCTCGAAGAGATGCCAGTCTAAAAAGAATGTGGACGCTATAGCTGAGAAGCTTCGAAAGGTGGAAGCTCCTAGCAAGGCATCTGTTCCTGTTGATCTGAATATGGAAGCACACACAAGTGCCAGTAGCACGACAGCTGAGTTTGTGGCTTCAGGTAGCAGGTCCCCAGTGAGTGAAGACCTTGAGGATGGTGAGGTCTCAGGAGCCAACACAGGAGAGTCCTTTGGGTGTGAATGTGGTGCAAGATTTTCCAAAATTATCCATTTGGAAATGCACAAAAAAATTCATACAGGGGAACTACCCTATCAGTGTGGACACTGTGGGGAGAGATTTGTCAGTATTGAGACTTTGAACTTTCACAAAGAGTTACATGTAACAACTGGGAATACATATGCTTGTGATATGTGTGGTAAGGTTTTTTCATGCCGCCGATACTTGACGAAGCACAGGAAGAGGCATGAGGGTAAAGAGGTTCACAAGTGTGATATCTGCTTTAGGGGATTTGTCAACTGGTATGAATTGGAAACCCATAAAAAAGACCACAATGAGGATGAGACGACATATCCAATAGATATCCCTGTGGAAAATTTTTCAGAAGACTTGGCACCGGTTGAAGCAAAAGGAAAAAAGAGAGGGAAAAGGGCTCACCATTGTGACATGTGTAATGCTAAGTTCAAGAATCGCCGTAAGCTGGAGGAACATCAAATGTCTTGTGCACTTGCCCAAAGGGACCTGGTCATGGATGGAGTTGTTGGTCCTGCTTCTGGTGAAGATGGGGAAGACGATCTTCCTGTACATTTTGGTGGATTGTCCGAGGAAAAGAACCACAGGGCAAAGACTTCTGTTGGTCCCGAGTATGGTGATTTCGTGCCTGATATTCACATTAAAACTGAACTTCCTGATGAATTTTCAGTTTTGACAGGTGATACGTGGGATGACCAGGGCAATCTTTTGGGAGTCTCAGTGGATGACAAAAAGAGAAGGCGGAGAAAAGCAGCCAAGCCAAAGATTCTATCTGAGGAACCTATTGAGAGTGACGGTGCTGAACCGGCTCCAAAGCCACCCCCGAGGAGGAGAGGGAAAGGCAAGAAATTCGCTGGGGGACACCGCCCCCATGAGTGCGAGTGTGGGGCCAGGTTCGTGAGAAAGTTTCATCTGCTGACTCACAAGAAGGTCCATACGGGTGATATGCCTTACCCATGCGAGATATGTGGTGAGAAATACCTTAGGCCAGAGGAACTGAAAGCTCATCGAATGATTCACTTCACCGCAATTGATCCATTCACCTGCGATATCTGCGATAAAGTGTTCACCTGCAGCAGGTACTTGAAAAATCATAAAAGGAGACATGCAGAAGAGAAACCATATAAATGTGATGCTTGCCACAAAAGTTATGTGAACAGCACAGAGTTAAACTCCCACAAAAAGACCCATATGAGAGAGGAGGAGACAATGTACCAATGGTACGTCAATCCCCGGAAGTCGGTTGATAAATTAAACAAGTCTCAATCTGGCATGATAGTGAGGGAAAGTGTGTATATTTGTAAAATCTGTAGGGCAGAATTTGAGAATCGTGACTTAGTTGAAAGACACCTAGAAACACACCACAATGCAGGGGAAGGTGGTTTTCAGATGCACAACTTTTTCGGTGATGAGTTTCGGGTGGATGAGTTTGACGACTCAAAGAAAATGCATTCCAATGATTCTTTGCTTCGATGTGATGTTTGTGGAGAGATCTACCCCAGTAGTCATGATTTGGCTCACCATAGACAGACATCGGACTGTAGAGCTGTGTACACGTGTGGGGTTTGTTGTGCCGAGTTTATGCAGCAAGATGAGTTGGAAGAACATATAGTGCAGCATGTCGGGTAGAAGAAAGAAGACACTCGTTGTGTAGCCCATTGTAGTTACTATTTCTCCCACTTGACTTCATTAACATCACCCTTTGTCTCTGCGAGTCATCTACCATGCTGTGCAGGAGTTCAGCTTTTGAGCATATTTTCTCTAGCCATATTGCAAGTTGAGTGTATGACAGTGTTTTCGGATGTGTTGATAGCCATATGTTTAAGGCAGCCGCACATTTTGTGGATTTTGCTTAGTCAATGATATTGTACATAAATATATTTGTGCTTTTTGTAATATAATGGTGCCTCTTCTGTGTTCACTGGGATGTAATGGATAAGATGATTTTATGGTAAAATTAATTGTTCTTCTGTGTCCTCTAAAATCACAGACATAACCTGCTGCCTACTGTATTGAGATGAAATTGTGGAAAAGAAAAACAGTTAATTTCAGTTTTGAAATGGGCCAACAAATCCTTTGTGCAGAAAGCAAGCTGTACTTACATGTATGTGATGTATGAAAAGTTAACAACAGAATGTCTCACATGTATTTTGCCACTCTGTAGTCCTCTGACTCCTGGTCTATTCATGAGGGTCAAAGAGCTAGAATTGAAAATTTCTCCTTCTCCAAAGTGTGTTCACTGTGCCTTAACAAAACCCAGCCTATTCTTGCGAAAAACCTAAAATATATCCATCTTTGACAGGACTGTATATATAATGATATGGTGAAAGGATATGCGTCTGAATGTGAAAAATGGATGGTTCTTGTTTTACTCAACTCGTCCTCTGGTGTAGCTTTACCAACAGCTGAGCAAGTGATTAGAGGGTGCCTCTGATAGGTTCCCTTGATCCTTGATTCAAACCTCTGTTGTTTCAATGTTGTCAGTCCTTGTCATGTTTAGATTGCAATGAGGTAGCCCTACGCAATTTTTACTTTACTTTACCCTAGTTTGCTGTTTAGTACACACGTTGCTGACCCTAAAGTGCACACACTACGTACTAATTCTGTTAGACAGATAGTTCAAAGGAACCGCTAGTAACTACTAGTGGGTGCATTTCTTTGCCGTCCATCTTTTTTCTTTGTTTTTCTTTTTCCCTTCACGAAATGGTGTTATTTTGCAAATGTGCTTTTCTTTACACAACCAATACTATTAGTAATACCAAACTAAATCTGTATCATTCTTGATGACCCCAAAGCATTTTTAATTTGGTTGAATTTGTAAAGGTCTTCCCCCCCCCATTTGACTTTACTTTGTCTTTTCTGAGGTTAATCAGTAACTTAAATATGAGTTCTTGTCTCTGACAACTTTTTTGTGTAGAAAGGAGCAATACATCCGTATCATACTGTCTTTGTTCCTTCTGTTTTTCCAATGTTCCCATCATCATCTTTAGCCCTTTTGGCACTTACATACGTGACCATGTAGCAGGATGTACGCTGTTCAAGCTTTTTTAACTGCTTAGACCCATGATTGTGTACGTTGTAGGCCTACTTGTAGTGAGAATTTAGAAAAACATTCTGTTTGAAAAGCTACATTGGGATGAATCATTGGTCTGTTGTACTGAGGTCTTCTCAAGGTTTCACTTGTTGGGATTGTGTGCTTTGATTTATAGTACAGGATGAAAAATGTTGAGTTTTTTTTAAAGAAATCATTAAAAACCCGAAATATGAATTATTTATTTACTCATGCTTTTTATACTTTAATAATCTCTGAATGCAAACATTTTTTTTTTTGAAGACCACACACTTCTTTTCACCAAAATCTACAAAAGTGAGTTATTTTTACTTTTTCCCCCTCATTTTTTAAAAGAATTCCATTCAAGGATAAAAAAGATATTCAGTTTGGGGAATCATTCTCAATTACGTAGTCGAAATCACATATAACAGGCCCGGTAATAACGGGGATCCTACTCTTTGTCTCTATTAAAAGTTATCGGCAATAACGGGGCCTCATTGGAGCCCAGCTGGTTATAGCAGGGACGAAGGCTCGTTGACAATGTGTAAAAAGTAAGAGAGAAAAAGAGAGAGAGAGAGTAACGCAGTGATGGAGCAAGCCCATGCAAGCCATGCACACGCAGCGTGTGAAGTGAGAGAGGGCTGCCGTGTGCTGCAGACCTCGATCTAGCCCGAAACCTAGCAACACGCACGCGTAATGTGTCTACTGTCACCAACGATGTCAAGCGCAAGAGAAAAGGTCTTTCAATTGACAAAAAAATACTAAATAATCCAGGCTGTTGACAAAAAGCAAGCTCCACTGGCAGAGATTTGTCGTCAGTTCGACATTATCAAGGATAGAGAGAAGATAGTGGCAGCATACTCCAATGGAAAGTTTGCTCTGGATCGAAAGAAGATGAGACTACCCGATGCAGATGCTGTGGACCGAGCTCTTCTGATGTGGTTTAAGGAGGCAAGGAGAAAGTTGGTCTCAAAACCCCTGTTCCTGGCGGTTACATGTGGCATAGGAAACTACCCATGAATAAGTACAGCTGGATTAGTCCACAAATGCTTACTTTCCTTGCATTTCTGATTTAACAGGGATCAGATATAACAGGACATTTTCTCTACTCCCACCATCCCTGTTATATCAGGTTTCTACTGTAATCATAAAGTCGTTTGTAATCATAAATGGCAAATTAGAATCAAACCAGACTATGAGAAGAACCATTTTCAAAAGCTAAAACCTCAAAAACTATTCATGCTATCTATGAAGAAATAATTATATATTTGTAACCAGCACACAAATCTTAAAGTAAATGACTCTAGCTTTTCTTGAAATTGTATTTATGGTTTTATTTCTTTTAGAAGACTTGCGTATTATATATAATGTGAATGACAAAAAAGTCAAAATAGCAAAGTTAAAAATTCTTTTAAAAAATATTTTTTTCTAAAATAAGTAAAAGCTAGCATTATGTTATTTGAAATTACACGGTGCATTTACCCTTTAAAATTTCATGTCATTATCTTGAACATGTTTGAGTTTTTAGCTTTTAAATTAATAAAATAAACATTTTGAGAAAACAAGCAAAAATATCACAATGTTTCTTTAAATAAGCATTGTATTTTCTCAAAGTGAAACAAACTCTATGGAGGTATCTCTTTGAAATAGAACTTTGAGAGTATTTTCATTCAATTTCACTCATAATTTTCAAGGGAAGTTTCTAAAAATCACAAAACCCGAGGTGGATCCCCAAAACCTGTGTGTGGTCTTAAGTTAAAGCATTGTTGAAAGACTAAAAAATTTGTGTAAGCTGTGCCAGATTATGTAAACATCAGGCAGAACTAATAAAACTCAGAGACAATGAGTATGTTAACTGTCTGTCAAATAAATTTCGAACCCTATGGAGGTGTTTAGCTTTGTATGATTGGAAACCTTAATCAGCAGAAAACCTCGCTGCACGCTTTGAAACAGCACTATTCTTTCATAGCATGTGTACTTCTTAATCTTATCTTCTGTTGCCCTCTAGCGCTTTGTCAAGACCAGTTGAAACCTGAAACTTGGTCTTCAATTGTGTCTCTGTCTAGTCTAGACTTCTGTATGGTGGAAGGCCTTTTACCTTACCCTTTGAAGAAATGAAAGAAAGACGTGCTGGTTTGTTTTTTTGTCCATTGATCTGCATGGCGAATAATAATGAAAGGTCAAATTTTTCTACTACTGCTTATCAGTCTTCCCGTGCACTGATGTGTTTGTGTTGAACAGTGCATGCTAGTGGGTGCCCAAGTTCAATTTCAGGGATATTAATTTAATGCTTTGTTGTTGATAATTGTTGAAAACATTTCACACATCTTGTGTGTCCTAGCATGTTTGGGGGGGGTGGGGGGGTTGACTGGTGCTCTGGTGTGTTTGCTCCTTCCATCCTATCAAACTTCTATTGTCCTTATAAATCTCTCCTCCTTCTTTTCTTTCTTTGTATGTTACTGTTTAGTAACATCTCTAATCTTCCACTCTTATGTGACCTCTTTGCCTTGCAATAGCTGTTAAACTTACTAAAACTAAAAATTAAATTGTCTTGTTTTTCCGCTGCCACCTCTTTGTTCTTTCTGCTGAAGTCCTGTCTCTCCAGTATAGGTAACACAATGGTGTAATGGTTACACTCTTTGCCGGCAAGCGAAAGGAGTAAGTTCGACCCGTGAAGTATATTCCTCAAAATTTTAATATCTTTGCCTTCCTGCTGGAATACACCCATTCAGCCCAAGTTGACCAAGAATTGGCAAGATATTCTGATGCAAGCCACCTCTTGAATCGTATCATAAATTGTGTTAGTAGGGGCGTAAAATATTTACAATCAATCAGACAATTTGCTTTCAGTGTAACGATATAATCTTTTAACTCTTTCCCTACCGCGAGCGGCATTTTGTGGCCCTCGGACGTGGCCTCGCTGGACTGAGAGCCACAAAATACAGCTCAAGTGGCTCGCTATCTACTCCAATACAGTAGTGAAAAGACACTAAATTCTCGGCCGATCTATGTTTTCGAAATAATAGAATAGACTTTCTGTTAGCAGATATGAAAGAAAATATCACACTGACAGACGATTTTGAGTCATTTTAACACTTTTTTCTGTCCCCCCTCGAAATAAGGAAAAAAAAGTGCTCCACTAACTTCAGTACATGTTTCATGTTTTCACCTCTATAATAGGTACACATACATAATTTTCAGCATTTCTTTGCATTACTTGAGGCAACCAACCTGGGAAGTGTGAATGCTGTTGTTGTTGAATTTTTATAGTTATGACCTTTCAAAGCTGGAAAATTGTTGGTTTCATATGATACCTTTGATATTGCATAATCACATTTAGAAACCCCAAACTATGGAATAAATCTTCAATAATGTATCACCATCTGATAGATTATTTTTTAATCTTCAGTTTGATGGGCAATATGATGGTTTGTGTATGTTTAGTGGGATGTTTTGACATTTTCCTTTGGTGGGGTAGGGGCGTAAAAATAAAAATAGGTCAGGAGCCAGTGGTGGATTGTGGCTTGGTAGGAAAAGAGTTAATTAGTGTCTGAGGCTATACTATGGGAGTCTCCACAACACACATGCATGTAGTAGCCCTTGTGTTCAGGAGTGGTTTGCTTGGCTTCTTTTTATGGTTTGGATATTTCCTTTCATTACTTAACGCTTAACTTGCGAATAATGTCACAATGTGAGTCCGATTTCCATTGAAAAGAATTTATTTATCTAATATTTTTGCCTTCCAGCTGGGACATGCTGGACACAGCTCATGTTAGTGTTAGCTCTGAAAGCCTTGAAAATAATCTACCTGTTTATGGGGACTTACAACTGCAAATCATAAACATCTTGCCCTGCAGTGTGGATGTCTATCATAAAGCTTGTGGTATTGCTCGCTTTATAGGGAATTTAGCAGTATTTGGTGCTGTGAAAGTAGAAGCTTGACATGTAATTTTACTTTTTGACGTGAAGGTGATTTATTATATCTTGCAAGTTCGTGGGTTCGAGCCGCGGGCCCGACGTTGTGTCCTTGGTAAAGGCACTTAACACGAATTTTCCTCACTTCACCCAAGTGGGAATGGGTACCCAGCCATAGACAGCAGAAGTTCTTTTCAGTATATGTTTTAGTGCCTATAAATGGCTGCTTGCACTATATGCTTCCAAGGAAGTTGAGGTTGTTTCAGAATGCTCACAGGTCTGCTGGAATAATGGTATAGATTGTGAAGCGCAATATGCTTGCTGTTGAGCGGTGATTTGCGCCATACGAATGCTATCTATTATTATGATTATTTTGAAGTAGATTTATTAGACTGATGATAGCTAGATCTATAACAATTCTTTCCTTTACACCAGCTTGTTTTTGTACAAGTGAATGTTGTACAGCAAAAAAACCCAACAACAGTTGATGACTGAAAAGCTGTATTTTTGCAGTGTAATATTTTTCCAATACATGTACATACATGAGTTGATTTTTTTCCTCTTTTCTAATAGCGATCCTTTTATAAGGATGCCAAAACTTGGCATGTGCTAGTAATATATTTACTCAAGAACTTTTGTACTGTTTATTTTTATAATAAATTGTAACATATCAGTATGTTTACCCAAGAAGGAAGATAGGGAGGTCTTTTTAAAAACAGTCAGCAATGGCATATTTTGGGATGCTAAGGACTTAAAGTTTTGTCAGTGTATGTTTTATTGTGTCCACTCTCTTCTTTCTATGTTATATTCTTTCTTGTTCTACTTTTCTTTTTCCCCTGTTGTTCTTGCTGTGTCAAAAGAATCAGTTTGGTAAGCTATTACTAGTATGTTGAAGCTGAAGGTTTTTAAAGTATTCTCCAAGACTCTCCGAGTCGTCTAAGTGATTGATTGTGCTGAGATGATGGGTGTCTCTACTTTTATGCATAATGTTTATGAGTACGACTTTAAATGATCATTGATTTTGCGTGTATGCTTTCATATTCCTGCTAGTCAATTTCATGTTTTCCTAATGTGTAAAAAAATACACCTTTGTACCTAAAGAGAACAGGTAATTATTTTTGGTGATGGGGAAAAAAGACAGGAATGGGAATTAAACATTATTTTATTGTATTTATTTATTACCATATCAAAAGCTTTTTTTTAATATAATGGCAAAAGTGGACTGATTTATGTTTGCAATGATAATCTAGTCAGATTCAGATTGTAGGTTTCGAACGGATAAAAAGTGAGATGCATTAGTGGAGTGAGCACAAGTGCTCATTACTATGACTTTTTGAGAAATCCAGTTACTTGTAGCAGCAATTCAAAAGTAGCAAAAGTCATGAGAGCTCTTTAAGAATTGGTACCAGTTGGTGAAAGTTTGGATAAGTTGCGCTGTTCAAGTTTTGGTTACTTGACAAATGAGGTAAGGGAAGTTGGTGTACATTAGAAATTGTAATTGTTCACTTTAAAATTTAAACACAATTATTAAATTCGAGACAAGAGAATTGGGTTGCTACGAAAAGATTTTGGAAAAATTATTCTTTGATTTTATATTTGTAAAAAACCTATTTCAACAATTGGCTTAAGTATTAAG